CCCGGTGGCGGCCATGTCAGCCCCGGTGGCCAACCCCACGCCCCCCGTGACCGTGTCCCCCCCCGGTAACTGTGTCCGCGTGTCCCCCCAGTCTCTCGTCATCCCCGAGAAGTTCCAGCACATCCTGCGTGTCCTCAACACCAACATCGATGGGCGCCGGAAAATTGCTTTCGCCATCACCGCCATCAAGGTGAGGGGGCAGCGGGGGTGGGATACGAGGCGTGGGGGGGGATGACACAGTGACGTGACGACCCCCCCCCGCTTTTTGTCGCGCGTGTGTGTGTCCCCCAGGGTGTGGGACGCCGCTACGCCCACGTGGTGCTGCGCAAAGCTGACATCGACCTCACCAAGCGAGCGGGCGAGCTGACCGAGGATGAGGTGAGAGGGTTGGGAGCAGACAGGGACATTTCTTGGGGGCTTGGGGACATTTCTTGGGGCTTGGGGGCATCTCCAGGGGGGCTGGAGGCATTTCTAGGAGCTTGCAGATATTTCTAGGGGCTCGTGGACATTTCTAGGGGCTTGGGGACATCTAGGGGGCTTGGGGATGTGTCTAGGGAGGTTGGGGATATCTCTAGGATCTTGGGGACATCTCTAGGGGAGTTTGGGGCATCTAGGGGGCTTGGGGACATTTTTAGGGGCCTGTGGACATCTCTAGGGAAGTTGGGGACATCTCTGGGGGGGTGTCCCCCCGCCCTGTCCCCCCCAGGTGGAGCGGGTCATCACCATCATGCAGAACCCCCGACAGTACAAAATCCCCGACTGGTTCCTCAACCGGCAGAAAGACGTGAAAGACGGGAAGTACAGCCAGGTGAGGGGGGGGACACACACATGGGACACCCCCCTGGGTGTCCCCCGATGTCCCCTGATGTCCCTTGATGTCCCCTAATGTGTCGTCGTCATCCCCCCGCAGGTCTTGGCCAATGGCTTGGACAATAAACTGCGAGAGGATTTGGAGCGGTTGAAGAAAATCCGGGCACATCGGGGACTGCGACACTTCTGGGGGTGAGCGGGGGGCTTGGGGACACCGGGGGGGACTTGGGGACACGGGGAGTGGTGACACTAGGGGGGAATGGGGTCCTTGAGACCGCTGTCGTGTCGTGTGTCCCCCCACGTGCTGGGCTGGGGCACTTCTGGGGGGTGAAGGGGCGGGGATTTGGGGACATGGGACACAAAGAGGGAGGGAGGTGACACGGGTGACACGTCCCTCCTGTCTTGTCACCCCCCCCAGGCTGCGCGTGCGAGGCCAGCACACCAAGACCACCGGCCGGCGGGGCCGCACCGTCGGTGTCTCCAAGAAGAAGTGATGGGTGCAGGGGAGAAATAAAAGTGACGTTGGTGGTGACAGAGGTGGTCCTTGTGTGTGTGTGTGTGTGGCTTCGCACGAGGACGGGGTGGGGGCTCGCACGAGGAGGGGGGCTTGGGAAGTTGGAGCCTCACAGGAGAGCAGGGCTTCCCACAGGGATGGGGAAGGTCTTTGCACAAGGATGGGACCTTGCACGAGGGGTTTCGGCCCCAGGGCTGGTGCTTTTGCACTGGGGCAAGGTCTCGCACAAGGACGGGGGCCCTCGCACGAGGATGGGATGTTGGACGAGAACGGGGCTCCATGCGGGGGCAGGGCCTCGGGAGGTGGACAACACTTTGCATGAGGATGGTGCCTTGCACGATGACGGGCCTCGCACAAGGACCTTGCACGAGGATGGGTCTTTGCACGACGACAGGGTCTCACCTGCCCACTGTACAAGGCCAGCCGGGCTTCGGGGGGGCGGGGCAGCGGTGTGCAAGCCCCGCCCCTTTGCCGCGAGTGTGCAAGCCCCGCCTACCCGCTGCCACGCGTGTGCTACGGAGCTGCCGTCCGCCCAGCTGCCCTCAACAAATATGGCGGCGCCGGCTTCCACCCCTAGTTGCCCTCAACAAACATGGCCGCCGCACCGCCCCCCGCTGCCCTCAACCAATATGGCGGCGCCGCCTCACCCCCCCCCTTGCCCTCCTCCAACATGGCGGCGCCGGCTTCACCCCTTCCGCCGCGCCTCTGTGTTCTGATTGGTCGCACTCTTACCTTCCCTGTCTTCTGATTGGTCGCCACGCCGGAAAGGGCAGGGAGGCAGATCGCACATGGCGGCGGCGGCGGTAGCAAGCGGCGGGAGGTCCCGCACCCTTCACCGACGGCAACGGGCCGGGCCGGGCCCTGCCGCCTCCGCCAACCATGGCGGGGAACGGGGAG